CCGCCGCCCCTGTATCAAATTTGTTACAGTTTTCTGTATCCGGGCACTGTGATACACCAATTTGCATCGGTGATACAAAATCTTGCACTAGCTTATAAAAATTTGTAAACATTACAAAATTTTGATTTTATTTCAAATTTTTTTAATTTTCTGTAATCTGATTACAAATTTCTGTAAACGGGATACAAATTTCTGTAACATGGAAACAGAAATCTGTATGTGCGTTCAAAACTTCGCGGTTTTAACGTCCAATTTGAACACGAAATGAGTAGCAGTTAGACTGAATCTAGCACCATATATGATAAAATCAATTTTCGAAGTATTCACATATAAATCCCATTTAATAGCCTGATAGCTAAGGGAAAGGCTCAGGGGCCAGCCAAGACGTGAGGAAGAATGACACCGGTTCGGAGCACGGCTGCTCGCAGGTAGTCGCCTTAGCCGCGTGGGCTAATGCGTCGAATTTCAACCCAGAGGTTCGGGGTTCAACTCCCGGTTAGGCAAGGTACAACTTTAATGTTAACTGCCTGTCGTGTGTGGGCAACATCTCAAATAAGACAACCAGCAGGAAAAAAATATTTTTCTTTCATATCGGAGTATTAACATCAACGTATTTTCTTCTGTATCGATGGATACAAATTCCTTTCTCCGTATTACAAATTTGTTTTTGTATCCGAAAGAATACAATTTTTTGTATCACGGATGCTGAAAAAACTGCATATCCAAATTACAGATTTTTGTATTAAATTTTTTAGAGTGTATGTATGTAATGCCAAAGATAATAGTCCTCCCACTCAATCGATGTAGCCAAGAAGATATCGTCCAGCATTTCACACACCATCTCTTGCATGATATTGCTTGCATTAGTCACATTTTCCTGCTCAAGAAACCAATACGGATCACCGCGAAATTCCACAAGACAACCACATGCACACCTGACCGAATTTTCTTGTTCATCTTCCGAAAGAGGTAGACACTGACTTGCGATTTTGCACAACATTTCACTTTTACTCTGCTTTTGCACTATTTCACCTACACTAAACACTTGATCTTTCAAATTTTCACACTGCGCTCCGGGCGTGTTTACCTCCTCCGGGGTTGTAGACTGGTAGCTAGTGTCAGTCCGGGATGCTGACGCTGCATCATCTAGACCGAGCCGCGGGCTGATCCGTGGGCTGCCGCTGGACATGCGTCATTGCTAGAGGCCCACGCTGTTGAAGCCTCGCTGGGGGTCTCATCTTCCTCTTCTTCCATGGGAGTCGCCATCTTGCTAGCCTCGTTGGGGGTCTCGTCACTGGACGTGTCAACCCCGCGCCCCTCACGCCGCTCCCCATGTGGTTAGGGCGCCATCTTTGATTCAGAATTTCTCTGGGACGTATTCGGCACATCTTTCGGACACTGCACATTATTTTCAGCTCCTTCGGCTTTTCTGGGGTTTAACAACTGAAAACTTTGTCCGTTTCCCCGATCCCCATCTATCTTTATCTTGATTTGCCGCTTTTCGTTTTCACCTCCGTACACACGAGTCTTCTGCCAATTATTGCCAATTTCTTTTATTTCAAAATTAATCTTAAAGAGACTAGCGGCAAGTCTTGCCGCATACTCCCATAAACAGCGCCCTTCAGAAATCTGCTCACTTAATGATTTTGCACAATCTTTAAGTTGGGTAGTATTCCTTCCAGTTAGTGCGCATATGAATGAGCTGCCAACATTTTTCTCACAATCTTCTCATGCTTACATGTCCCAAACAATGAGGCACTGATTATCTTGAAAATTGGATTATTGATGGTATTCGGTTCTTTTTTTCTCTCCCTCTCTATTCCTCCAATGGTGGCCCATTTTTTCTCGCAGTTTCTCAGGCAGTTTGGCCGAAGCACTATGTTATGTAGATAGAATAGGAGGGACGAGGATTGGTATCAAAACAATAGTGAATTAATCCTCCGGTCCGAGTAGGGTTGATGCACTATATTTCACTCTGCGCTTTTATTCACAGGAGGTTCACACAGGTGGTTCAGTGGTTAAGGTGCTCTGAGTCCGCTTGGTTTCCGTCACGCAGGACGGGCGGTTCGCGACTAAAGCTAGGCTGCACGGCGCCGCCGTGCAGATCCGTAGTTTTGATGACCATTCATTTTTGCTCCGCGCCATGCCGTATATAAAAGGTCAGATACAGTAAAAACAATGTCAATTGAAGTCAACGAGAAGTCAGAGAAAATGTAGTGAGAAAGTCAACAAAAAGTCAACATGCGTCATGTAGAACGTTATTCCTATTCCTGAAAAATATACCTCTTGTTGATTGTTGTGTCCGGGACTTGGGGAATAACGAGTGACACTTACTTGCCTTTGTACACAAGGAAGAGAGATGTGTGTTGGTGGCTGGTTGAGCACAGAA